TACGTGCACGGCATGCACGCAGGGCAAGTCATGATCGGCCATTATTCAAACCCAACAAATATCCGCCGCGCGCGTGTGGCCGACGCGTACGTGTGTCCGCGGCGGCGCGCGTGTCTAGGCTAGCGGAGCAGAAAAAAATACAAGGAATTTACTAATTTTCTTATTAAAATTTGTTTAAAGAGTTTATAATCTAGTGATTAAGTTCTACTTTCGGTATAATCCTGGCTGCCCCTGGCTAAGTGGGATTCACATCTTTTTTAATAATGAAATAGAGTATCATATCGGTCTTTGCTTAACGAGTTATAGCCGATTATTATACCAATTCACTTAAAGCGCGCACAATTCAAAGAAAACTTATAAAAATAGTCCAGATCATGAAGTAAACACAAACTAATAACCACCAACACAAGATAAAGAGTACATAATTATTAGATCCTATTTGTGATCTTCATCGGAAGTTGACAAAAAGTTGCATGACAGTTGTTTTAAGATTACGACATGCAAACTTTAAAAGCTTGCTGTCTTGATACTTTTGTATTTGTGTCCAGGACCGGAGCCAATGTGTTATCTAAAAAAAATTGTATATAAGATAGTATCATTGTATGTAATGATAGTGTTATTATAGACATATGAACCAATAGAAAAATAGAACCTGCATATAAGTAACAAGGACGGATTCAGAATTGATCCAAAGACTTGATCCAAAGACTTGTACCAACTCATAGAGAAGTTGGGTTTTGTATGGTGATTACATGGTAATCTTAGGCTTTGGGCCACGGTTAAGGTGCCCTAGGCTTAGATCCACCTCTGACTATTAAGCAATATCTTTATGGCAGAGGATACTTGGCCGACCAGAGATGCCGCATTTTTCCATTTCCGTTCTTTTAGAAACCTTATATATTTTATAATTGTAGAAATGTACTATCTTTTACTTAGCGTCAGTGAATCTAACGTTAAGGTCCAACGGCTCAACATTAATGACGCTGGCACCGACTCTAGGTGCTGAGAAAGGAATTCATTCTTAAAACTAAAATATAAAGCTTGTTAGTTTATTACCAAAATTAACCTTACCAAACTTAGCATTACCACATCTCAGTAAGGTAACAAACTAAACAAGACCTCACCATTACAATATTGTCAATTCCTACCAACATTTGGTATTTGAACTTCTTTTTCACAAAACAATAAAAAAATTGGTAAGGTATCAAACTGAACATCACTCTCACATCTTGAATTCGTCGAAATTTTGGTATTGTCAAGTTTTAATTTCACCAATATTTTCTGACGATGGATTGAACAGGGCCCATAAAAAAAAAGAGTAAAGTCCATCACCGGTCCACCGGTCCTTAAATTTTGTACCGCTGTGTCATCTCGGTCCATAAACTTTCAAATCGACCGTTCAGGTCCCCAAACTTGTTCGACTGTATCATCCCGGTTCTTAAACTTGCAAATCACTCGTTTAAGTCCTCCAACTTGTCCAGTTGTGTCACCCTGGTCTCTAAACAGGATGGTCTAAAAACTTTATATAAAAAATAATTCATAATTTTTTCATGTGAACTCTAATGGAGACAAATTTTATATCAAAATTGTAGCCCTTGACACGACCTACAACTTTGTAGTTGAAAAGTTTTTGAATTTAAACTGTTTAGGGTCCCAAAATATTGTTGCATGTTTATAGATTTTGAAATTTTAATTTTAAAATTACATTTTCAGACAAAAAATGACTTAAAATAAAAAAATCAACTACAAAGTTATAGATCGCGTTGAGGGCTACAAGTTTGATATAAAGTTTGTCTTTATTAAAGTTCACATGAAAAAGTTATGAATTATTTTAAATATAAAGTCTTTAGACCGTCCTATTTGACCCAGATGATATTCAAATCCAAGTTTAGATACCGGGGTAACACAACTGAACAAGTTGGAGGACCTAAATGAGTGATATGAAAGTTTAGGGATCGGGATGACACAGTCGAACAAGTTTGAGGACCTGAACGGTCGATTTGCGAGTTTAGGGACCGAAATGACACAACGGTACAAGTTTAGAGACCGGTGATGGACTTTACTCGAAAAAAAATTCCAGGACGAGGCTGTGTTGGGGACGGTGTGACCGTGTGATTGGCTTGGGTATGGTAAGCTCGTTACCTCCCTTTCCCAACCTCCCTCCCCGTTTTTCGCGCGCACGCTTTTCAAACTGCTAAACAATACATTTTTTATAAAAAAAATTATATATGAAAGTTGCTTAAAAAAATCATATTAATCTATTTTTTTAAAAAAATTAGTAAATACTTAATTAATCATATAATAATAATAGGTGTTTTGTTTTGCGGTTCCCAACCCCTCCTCCCGCTGAGGCAGTGACTCAGCCAAGCTCTTGGCTACCCTCTATGGAGTAGGGGTCAGCATGAAGGACACTTGTGCTTCTTCCATCTCTCCTGCCAAGATATCCCACAAGGTACGTGTCCTCTCAAAAGATCTTCATGTGGCTCCTATATACTTACTCCCTCCATCCCATAATATAAGGGATTTTAAGTTTTTTTTCACTCTTTGATCACTCATCTTATTTAAAAATTTTTTAGAATTATTATTTATTTTTTTGACTTGCTTTATTATCCAAAGTACGTTAAGCACAAATTTTCGTTTTTTATATTTACACAAATTTTTTGAATAAGACAAGTGGTCAAACAGTATAAGCAAAAAAAAACTCAAAATCCCTTAGAGCAAGTTCAATAGTATAGCTCACTACTATCTCCAATTCATCTATAGTCAATTCATACAATAGTTGTTTACTATACTATTAATATACAGTTCCACCTGTCATACATACATTTTGTCTTGGAGTCCGTGTTGCAGCTAGCTATAAATCTGTAGCCCGCTGCTCTTCTCTCTCATCGTCTATCTCATTAAAATATGTTTATAACTGGTTAATAGCCTGCTATTATACCTGCTCTTATATTATAGGACGGAGGGAGTATTTGGAGTATTTTCTCATAAAAAGCACTTAGCACACCGTACGTGTGACTATGCATGATTAATTATTAAAAGTAGTACTTGTATGAAATTTCTGTCAACACTAGGACTAGCCACGTAGTCATGCTTCGTGCGACTTTGAACACCGGCATAACCTCCATATATAGGTGGACGATTAATGTTGACAATTATGAAGCCGTATAGTTTTATTACTATCTCCATTCTTAAATTTAAAGTTTCTATATTCTCTAACAAAGATTAAAGTTGATCAGAAAATACTTTTATATTCCTCATTTAATGAGATATAGTAGTTGAAAACAAGATGAAAAAACTTAAATGAGAAGTGAGATCGAGGGGTAAGTGGTACTCATTGAATCATTATATTTGTGAACAAATTTTAAATACTTGTAAAGCTTATATTTGTAGAATGTAGCTATCTTTAAACTTTTAAGGGATTAAGGAGAGGGCGATAAATTTAAATGGAAAGTTTATGTTCTATTTTTATTTTTTGATAGAAAGGTGAATATTATGATTAGCTGAAAAAAACTAATAGACAAAAAAATATAATATGGTTGTAATTAGTTTTTTATTTTGATGGTTGTAGTTAGTTGAGATGAGAGAATATGCGAAGTAGCTATTTACATATTTTAGGGTAAATTTTAAATGTTAAAGGCAACAATATTTTCTTGAGATGGAAGAAATAATAAATTTGACACAATGATGGATGTCACTCTGCCATCTAGAAAGCTGAATGCTGAATGGTTTATGCAGTTTGAAAGAAGCATATGTTCATTTAGATGATGAGAAAGAAACTTAAGTTGAATATCCCTAATCGTAAATAACATCAGAGGACTTCACAAGTAATCTGGAAATAGTGTTCTCGTTGATTTCAACTTATTTTTATTGGGCTATTGCTGTGGATTATTTGGTCCACGCTTCCAAACTTTCATTTCCTTAAAAAAAATTCTTCTTCTGCATTGCTTTGTTAGACCACTTATTTTAAACTATTTGTCAAGTTATATTTTAAAATATTTAATTTATGTCACGCTGTCAGTCATGACTAAACATCTTACTCAATCAAAAGGAAAAAAAGGACTTGTCCAACCAATGACAATGAAACACCTACATTTACAAAATTAGATACAAAAGAGCAAGATATGGGCCAGACGGCTTTTGAACTATAGTCCTAAAACAGAAGAAAAGCCAGTGATTCCTAGTTTCCTTTGGTCCCAATGTTCTCCTTTATTGTTGAGATCAACACCTGTTAAACCATCGCCTAACACGTGCACCATGTTTGTTGTAAAATATGGGGCCATGATTGATTAGAAAAAACCATTCACCACATTACGAAATTAATTAATCCTAATCTCTTGGCCAGCTAAGGGAGTTACCAGAGGTAGAGTATTGCTGAAAGCAAACTGCATGATGGACTAGGCCACCTTTCCATGGATTAAGAAATTGAGAGGTGACAAAAGGTGGCAATGCTACCCTCTGTGGTCATCATCAAAGTGATAGCTGTGCATGGAGAAAAGGAAGAAGATAATTTAAAAAGTGAGCTTTGAAACACAAACAAAATGACAGGTCAAGCAGATGGATAGGATTGATTAGTGTTCAATCCCTGTCTCCAGTTCCATTTCCTAGGTCCTCATCGATTCCATATTCCTTAATAAGTTAAAACGATTTATTATATAATAAAATTTAATTCTTAGACAATACTTTTATAGATGTGTTTTTAGCGGGTTAAAAGCTAATACTGAAAAAAAAACTATGTTGAAAATATTTTCAAATCAACTTCAAAATTGATTTTGAAAATTCAAATTAACTTTTGTTTTGACTTAGTAGGGCAACTAATGGGGCGTTAGTCATTAACTGTTTTCGTTTATCTTTCTTTAGTTGACAAGAGTAAACTGTTCAAGGAAGGAACAGAAAATAATAAAATATAATCAAGAAAAGTCAAAACTGATTAATCACTTAAGTACCATAATTAGTGCTATATATATGAAGAACAAATTTTGTTCATTCAAACACCCCAATGTCCCAATCTTTAGAAAAGCTTGCTAGAGGTGGCAGCAACATGACCTAAAACCAGTGAAAAGAAAAGGTTTAATGTATGGCCATGGATGATAAAGCTTCCAAGAACCAAAGAGAAATATCCAACTGTCACCACTAGGCCCTCTAATCTACTACCATCCCCCACAAGCAAAAATGCAAAATCAGAATCAGATCACATCAAAATCACAATCACTGCTGCTAACCCAAGAGCCTCCACATATATAGGGGGCACAGCCATCCATCATTCCATCAGCACAAGGAGTGGAGAAAAAAAAATCACATTTCAGAAAAGAAACAGTGGGGGAGGGGAAGTACACCTCACACACCTTCCATTTTAGGAAGGTGAAGAGGGGAAGAAGAGGAGAAGCCATCAAGCGCTGCTGCTGCAGACAAATCCATTGCTGGGAAGTGAAGAAGATGAAGGAGAGGGAGAAGGTGGTGCGACTGGCCAAGCTCGCCGAGCAGGCGGAGAGATACGACGGTATGGCTGGGATGGGATCTCGGATTGCTGGATTGTTCGATTGCGCGTTGCTGTTGTGCAGTTCTTGTTCTTGGTTCTTTGCATTTGGGGGTTGGGGGGAAATCTCGCTGACCCTGTTCTTGGTTAAGTATAGGAAGGATTTGTGGGGTTCTTGATTCATTTGTGACTTCTGGGATTGCTGCCCTATGATTTTGCTTTTGGTCGCTTGGTTGAACAGCGGAGGCCGGGCATTGCGCACATTATGTTTGCGTCAAAAGAAAATCTATGAGCAGAATGTTTGGATGTATAGCAGTTTGACCCGAAAAGGCTGCTTCTTGATTATTACTCTGAGCCAATTTGAGTGAATGTATCCAGTGCGATATGAACATGTTTTGATGAAAAATATTGCTTTTCCATGATATTTAGCTGCCAGTTTGTGGGGTTTGAGTGGTTCTTGAAAAGGGGATAGTGAGATCATGAATGATATCTTGGATGATTTGTAATTATTGTTGCTCGTATGTTTGTGATGGTTTGTGGGGGCCAACTCTATGATTTGGGTGCTCCTTAGTCGCTTTCTGTTGCGTTTTGGTTTTCTTCTGAGGAAAAAAAGGGAATATCTTTGGAATCATGGATGACACATTTTCTGTTATGAGGATGGGTAAACAGTTAGAGATTTCTATCCATTTCTTTATGACCTAACTACATGATCTACTGGAATATGTGGAACTTGTGGAACCCACCATTTCGGTTCACATTTTTATTTTAGGTTAAAAGAGGTTTAGCAGTGCATAAAGTAGTGTACTAGTGTGGTTTGATTTATCATCCCTCTTTGCTAGAACTAAATAACTTTAGACTATTTGAAATGCCCTTTGCCCATAATTTGGGGGGCACCTTTGGATAATATGTCCACAATTAGATATTTAGATGGTCATATCTGTTGTAACTTAGTAGTATATATGCCACTATGTTCTGTATGATTGTTGATCTGAACTTGTCAGCCATTTTGTTGGCTCCTAGCGTCTTGGCTCAAAACACAAAAAAGTCTTTCTAATTCATAGACCACTTTCATAGTGCATAGAGGTTCTGGTAGCCTTCTTGGCTTCCATATCCCCACTTGAAGTGGTAGGCAACATAATGCTTGACTCAGTTTCCTGCAACTCTGTTGCCTTGATCTTGGCTTCTGAAGTAGCATGTCTTAATAACTGAATCTGTTCTGCTGCATAACAGATCTTTCAGTTCTGCTTAGAGTTTTCATGACGCAACCAGATCAATTATGTTCTATACACATATTTTGTTCTCCTTGTTTCGTTGAAGTGACTCTTCACTCAATGCATGATTGTTCCTGCAGATATGGTGGAATTTATGAAGACACTTGCTAGGATGGATGTGGATATGAGTGCTGAAGAGAGGCTTTTATTTTCAGTTGGTTTTAAGAAAACTATTGGTGCCAGGAGAGCATCATGGAGAATCCTTGAATCACTTGAGCAGAAGGTGACAGCTGGTGACCAACCAGGTGTAACAATAAATGGCTACAAAAAGAAAGTAGAGGATGAACTAAGGGCAGTTTGCAATGAAGTATTATCAATTATTGCTATTCATTGCCTTCCATTGGCCAATTCGGGTGAAAATGTCGTGTTCTTTTATAAGATGTATGTGCAGGTTCATCAAGTCAATTATTTGCTTCTCAATTGTGTTTTACTTCATATCGGTCTATTTCCTAATGGTTACATTCAGAATTTATTCCCAAACAAACATCTTATTATTATCCAGGCATATTTTGATGATGCAATCTTTTTCTTTGTAGAAGAATACACAACTTTGAGCTCATGTAGTGTTTTGAATAGCATTGACATAACACATCCATATGAGTTTCTGACTTTCTGCTAAATTCTCTTCCTAAGAAATGCTTGACTGAACACCTTGGTCCAAAGAATTGCAGAAGGTGACAAACATGTTGACTTTGCTCTGCTTTAAACTTTGACATCAACCAGGTTTTACCAAATGATGCTAAGGTTTCATAGAATCAAAGATTTAAACATACCAGCCATGACTCATGTGTCATTCCTCCAGGGACTAACTATGCTGACCTTTTTTGCTCACAGTATCCAAAAACTTATAGGTAACCTCATGACATATAGTTTTGCTCACATGGTCCTAAAGTTTCAGAATAAAGACTAAATTATCATAATTTAAAGGGCAGTATGATACATATATATACTGATAAATAAAGGGAAGGCTTCTAAATAAGCAAGGAGTTGAAGAGCTGATCTGTGCCAGCACATTAGCTTAACTTGTTTATTTATCTAATTCTGCACAGAAATGCAAGTACTTTTTTTTTCTTTAGTGCACGACCATTTGTAGTGTTGGGGTATTCTTCAGAAAAGGAAAGGGAAACAAGACCTAAAGATGAGATGAACCTCTTGATTCCCCAACTGTTTTCTTAGTCTTGGTCTTTAATTAAATCATGTTACACCTGGATTGTTCTACATTTTAGCCTATACCTGAGCATAGTTTCTTATGAAGCTTTGCTAAGTTGTTTTTCCATAATAATACCTTCTGGTGAAAGTTTCCATAATAATTAAAGTTTCAATAATTATTTACTAAGCTTTTGGATTACTCAATTATCTTTTCCATCATTGTTTTTCAAGTATTAACAATGAAAAAAAAAACTGAATAGTGCCTCACTAGTTCTGAAGTTTCCCCTCAGTACCTCTTGTTTCAGATATTTTGAGATTTTCTGAGATGAGATGTTATAAGATTATACTAGGATCTTATGTGTTGCCCTGGTAATCTATTTAACAATGGGCAGGTTGGTTTTCTATCAATTAACCGAGGATCTTCCCTCTATAGTATGTGCATGTTCGCACGATACTCATGTGTATATCTTTTTTCTTTAATCTGCTTTATACATCACTCTTAAAAAAATTACAGGAAGGGTGACTACTACCGTTACTTGGCTGAATTTAGCACTGGAACTGAAAAGAAGGCTGCTACTGATCAGTCCCTTATGGCCTATCAGGTGTGAAATCTTTTAAATATAGTACACATGCTCAAATGAACTTCTGGTATTAATCCTTGGTTTCCACCTTTGGAAAACTAACATATGTTGCTCCAGCACGCCATGGTTGTTGCCTCCAGTGAGCTTTCTCCTGCCCATCAATTCAGGCTTGGCCTTGCGCTCAACTTTTCAGTCTTCTTGAGATAATGAACTCTCCTGAGAGGTTATGCATCATTAATGGCCCCTTTCTCCCATTTTACTGATATTCCTAATGCGCCAAACTTGTTTGAATCATAAGCATGCCGGCATTATTCATTATATTAAATTTGATGATCGAGAAAAGCTTAGTACCAATATAAGATGGCATCATGAAACATTACCAATTTGCATCAATGAACCCCACAAGCGAAATGCTTAACAGGATAGGCAAATGTTTCCTGGATCTGCCTTTATTTAACCAATACTTTGGATATGACAGCTAATTTGTGTGTAGTTGCATCTTGGGCCATGCCAGATTTCACATCATCCACCAGTCTTTCAAAGCTTCAAAGATATACCATAATCAATGAGTTAGTCATTTTATTTCCTTTTTCAGAGCTAGCCAAGTGGCAAAACAAGCACTTGATGAGGCTACTGCTGAGATTAACTCTGCTGGTGTGGAGGGTTACAAGGACAGCATGCTTATGATGCAGCTCCTGAAGGAGAACCTGGCATTGTGGACATCAGAACTAACTGGAGGTAAATGAACTACAATAAAAAATATTTTCAACAATCAACTTCTGTTGCATTTCTGCTTTTTGATAAAGAGAATATTCTGTGTTATATCTTCTATATATATGGTACCATTTTGAAAGGTTTAGAGCAAGTAGCAGAAATTCTGCTTTTACCATATGTTGTGGTCACTGGTCATAACTTAATATTCATCAAGTGAAGCTGCTCATAGGCAGAACAAAATACCCTCTGAATTACCACATAATATTTGATGAAGGATTTACAGAATGTGAGCAACGAATGGTAGAGGCAGTCCAAAATGACATGACATTGGTTTCATGTTGACGTGATCTTGTAAAACTTCAGTAGCTGTATGTGCAAAAGGGCCTACTTGAGTACTGATCAAGTGATCATGCTTTGCGTTGCTTTGCTTTGTCATTCTTCCAACCAATCTTTTTTTTCTAATAAGGGTCACTAGTACAGCTTTGCATTGATCCAAGTTTGACTGAGTAACTCAAAATGTACCATTAATTTGAACTGGCTACGAAGATGATGTAGAAGATCATGTTTCTTTCTTATCTGTAAAGTTATCAAGAAATTGTATTTCTAAGATGTTGATGTAATTCTGTTAATATATTCATGAACACAAACTCTGTTGTAAGTGTTAGGTTCACAACCTAATCTCGTGACCACATATATATTTTCTTGATAACACTTACCGCAATTTGTTTCTTGTCTGTTCCTTGGTGACAAAAATAAGGTTCTTTATTTTGACAGGTGAAACATCTAAGGACGATGATGTTGTTATGGAGGTAAGATGCTTCTGCCTGTTACATGCATTTGATTCATATATCAAAACTAGAAATTTATCCAAGAGCTCAGTTCATAATGTTGATGAAAAGAAAAACAGTATGCAGAGTTGCAGACCATACTAATATCTGGTTGTCTTATATAGCTATAATATGTCCAATTTAGTAACTATGAATGTATAGTAAAACTCTTTGCATATGGGCAACCCACAGTTTTTACAGGCCATGCTTTACATCTTCTCTTTTCCAGGAAGCCATAATTTATTTCTGAACTATAATATATCATTACAATGTTGATCTTTAGACAATGTGCTGATATAGCTTTTATGTTTTGGCAGGGCTAACTGTCTGAAATGTTCTAAAGGCCCCAGCATGTGAGCAAAACAATCAGTAACATTGTAACAATACTGCTACTGAACTTGCGACATTTATCATGGGAGCCGTGGAAATCACCTTTATTTTTCCCTTTCTTCTGTAGTTTCTTTTTTTTTGGCCCTCGCTTGGGTCTTGGTGTGACCCCCAAAGTATTTTCAGAGTTTGGATTTGATAACCATGCACCAGCTTTGGTTATATTTTGAGATCTTGGAGTGGTCACCAACCCAGCTTTAATATTAGTTTGAGAGTACTTTTTTTTTCCAATGCTTGTTAAGCATCTTTGTATACCAACGGGATGATGAACTATATATCTCTTAATGATGACGAAATAAACGTCTCTTTTGTTAAGATGAACACATACATGTGGATGATGCTTCAATCTATGATTGTTGTATGCTGATGATGAACATGGTGAAAAGAAATAATGCATTGGATCTGTCACAAAATGACATGATGGTGATGATACATTTGTTATAATTTTGTTCTGCGAAAAATATTTGTGGTATTTTGGCAGGGTATAATTAGTTGTGAGGCACTAAGGCTCCTAGCAAAGCAATCAGTAACTGAGAGTAGCCGTGGCCACTGGCTGCGTCGCTAAAAAAATGGCAATCGAGTATTCGGCTTCTTTTTAACGGTATCGGGAGATTCAGTCCAATTTGGCAGAGCACAAGGACGGCCCGTTCTAAGTATTGGACTCGTCAGAATCGTATGGAAAATAAGTTCACTTTAGGTCCTCATCTTGACGTGGAGTTTGAATCGCATATCTGAACCACAATATCAACTTGTAAAACCGAATTAAATTAGGTCCTCTCACACCCGAGAAGCTCGCTGTACGTCTCGCCTCTCTTAACAAATCAAAACGCCTCTGAAATGCAGAAAGCAAAATTTCCCTGTGTACAAGGAACAGCAGAATGCATCAGCGTCCTGCGAAATTACGAACCCGATAGGCGTTGGACAGAGGGACGAATTGACGAAAAAAATGATGAGAATTGGACGCCTACGTGCAGATCCTCGGGCAAGCTGACAGGACTGAAACCGCATAGTGCACAAACAAGCTAATGCATAGCTCCATCACACATAAATGGAATTACTTGTGGAAATCAATAGCACAAGGTTTTTGTACATTACTGGAGCTAAAACAGGATTATTGTTTGCTATGCACCCCCAATCTCTGTTTGCTGTTTGCTTCTTAGGTACTCCCTCGTCCCAAATAAACCAACAAACCAATCTCATATAGGATACGACAAATTCACGATAAATCTGGACACCCTTATGTGTAAATTTATTGTACTAGAATACGTCACATCCCGTACGAGAGTTGTTTATTTTGGGACGGAGGGAGTAAATGCCTAATGCGTGTCGCCTTGCTTTAATGCGGAACACATGGTTGATTATTTATGAACGTAACTAGCATCGCATTTGCCTTAAACGTTTTATGATCTCCGATCTGGTAGATCAATGAACTATGTTGCCTCGTTTCTGACATATGGAAATGTAGGGAGCTTGTCTCCTCTTGATAAAAAAAAATCATCCGCAGATGAAGGGAGAAGCAAGATAGATATGTACTCCGCAGGTGGAGCTGTTAAGTGATTAGATTTTGTTCGGATAAACAAGGTATCCATCTTATATGCAGTTTATGCTTGCATCAAAATGATAAATTGATGATTATATTGAAAAATGGCAATGACTCGAAGACTGATGGTCCTTATTAGGGTATCTAGGTTGGTTTTTATGGCAATTGGTATGTTAGCAACACTTAATTGCATTAGGTAACTGAGGAGAAGAGACACCATATATGTTGCACACCTGGACATACCAATATGAGAGCCTAAGTACAAGTTTGGCCTACTGCTTTGGGAAAACCTAAATTACATGTTGGAAATAAACATTAATACTTCCTCTCCATTGACAGCACTGTCGTCATTGGTATATATTGCTATAAGTGCTTGAAATCTTGAATACTTTTTGTGATCAATAAATTTACCACTGACACTAATCTGAATAGGGACTTGATAAGTCTCCTAATTGATTAGTACACAATCTATCATCGTTATCATTAGCAGTGCAATGACGATGAAATAAGAAAATCAGAAAAAATACTGCAGTTTTTCAACTGCTTCCAGCATTGGCATTGAAAAAAAAATATTCCTCTTTCAAAATCAGTGTTACTGCAAAAGTTTGGAAGGGATCGAGTCGAGACTCGAGAGTGATGTATGTGGGGTTTTCCCCACATAAATCAGTACTTCATGAATGACAACTGACTCTTTCCTCGCAATAGTTTGGAAGTCCCATTGTCCCAAATCAGTTTGGACTTTGGAAGTTAGTAACGTCAAGCGCTACTGCTTAATAGTGTCTTCCAATCGAGGGACCAATCTCAAAAAGAGGCAAATGAATGCAACCTAAATCTTAAGGTTCATTGTTTATGCAAATGTAATGTTTTAATCACAAAGGTAACGACCTAACTAAGTTTCAGCTCACTTCTGTTTAATTTGTTTGGAACTTAATTTGAATCCTGGCTTTCCCTCTGTTTGCTTTGCAGCCAGCAGAGCAATGAGAACCTACAAAAAGGTACTCCTGCAAGGTTATTCAACTCATTGGATTTAAATACTAGATATCAAATTTCTCTGACTTTGCATAGTGATTTAGCATATGCATGCAGATGTCAAATTGACAACAAAATGTAAATTTCTGCATCTGGTAATTAGTACATATGGTACTTTTGCATTTTTCACTGAAACTGTGGCTACAATATACTGACCATAAAGTATTTAAGCTTGAAGTTTATGATGTATTGCCCATCTCTGATTTTAATTTTAATAAACTAACATGACCTGCCATTAGCCTCTAAAGTTTCTGAAATCTTCTAAATTTAATTTATTTTCACATGATAAACTTAAATATTTCTGCATATTAGAAGGTTAAGTTTTTTAAAAGTTTCAACGTGTCTGTTCTTAAACTTCAAATATTTCAGAAAGGAGGGATGAAATAGCTATGACAAGGACACAAAAAATGATTACCCTCATCAATGCAAATTTCTAATTTCAAAGGAGTGGATACAAGAATGCTGAAGCAAAATAAAAAAAAAACATCTGCAATGGTGAATCTTAATTTCCCTCCATAATTAAATGTTTCTTTCACAAAAAAATATACTATGATGAAGACATCACTTCATCGGATACGCACATAACTTCACATGTTCCAATGATAATTCCAAGTCCAAGTTCAGTTCGGCCTCCGGAGACAGCACTGACTTCAAACAGACCTAGCGCCTTCATGCCAACTCCGATTTGGGTGATCTTAGACTTCGTGGAAAGCTTATCTCGCTACCTTTCAAACGCATCCAGTCTCATATCCAAATTCATTCTGAGTCGACGGGAATCGTCAAAACAAGACAGTGCTGCTGCTGAAACTGAATTTAGGCCTTAGGCCTTGTAATAGACTAGACCCATCTCGGAAGTGTCTCCCTCCACCTCCACGAATTAGCACTTAACCCTAGCTTTATTTTCCTCTATAAATAGCTTTGTACATCCTCAAAAACAATTGGGTTTTGTTTAATTGAATTTTGCCAAGTGCCATTCACCTTGTCTCTAGTCCCTCGCTCGATTAGTCGACGACTATTGATTTAGAGCCCCCAATAGTTGATGTGTTGATTTGCCGGGTCGATTAGATCTACCACTTCAATCGCAACTATTTCTTTATGCTTAATCACCTATTCGCAATATTTAGATTGCATCTTATCTTATTCTTGTAGTGTTCTCTCGTTTGCATTGTAGGGATCATCAACCGCGCGTCACAGTTGGTACGACATCGTTTGTGGTGTAGCGATTGCACGACGTCCTGGACTTGTTCTGGTTGGTAGCCACGTCGCAAACGTCACACTCGATCAAAGCGAGAGTTATCCCCTCACCAGAAGATCGGGCCACGAGAGAGAGCGTCATAATACTATAAGATATCGCATTGAAAATTTTGTATACAAAATGTTCTTGCTTGATGAATCTCACGGACAGTCTTGTATACAAAATGTTCTAGCATGATTCATCTCAGATTTGATGTGACACATTTGCATCAAGAAGCAAAGGGGTCAATCTCAGATTTTCTTTGGAATCATAGGTCCGTTCATACTTATAATTCTAACTCTGTAAAAGTTTAAATTTAAAGTTTCATCACATTATCATATATTACGGACCATCTATACGAGGCTATTATGCAGGCACCCATAGTCGTGCTATAACAAGTAGGGACCTCCGGGTGACACAGAAGGTTAGGATAGCTCAAGACGGCATAGCTCATGAGTTGACCCAGTTGGCAGTAGTCGTCGTCGGGCCAATTGCTAGCCACCCAATGCATGCATCTAGTCTACATAGAGGTCTCTGAATGTGTCAAACCAATGCTTTATTAATCGCAGCGCATGAGTAATCAGCACAAGTTGTAATAAATATATGACCCCACGGAAAAAGTTCAACATCTTCAAGGGTAATTTTGTTTGTAATTTCGTTGAAAACCATTCCAGGTTTCCATGCTCCCCATTAATGATTGAGTTTATGTATTTCCTTTTATGGTGACACTACAGTGTTTTGCGTTTAACATCCTGACAAGTCGTAATCAGGCAGCTGATGTGAGAGGATCATCCATTCTTCATTAATTTATAGCCACAACAGTTGACTTGATATTAAAATGGTCAATTTGTTCCATACAGTTGGCCAGTTGGAATTTCATTTTAAAGATGATTCTTCTGTGCCAACCTATCCTGTCTTCACTAAACTATGCCCATAGGCCGTCTCCACTGCCTAGACACGCCACGACTTGGACCATCAGCTAGCTGTACGTACATCCGAAGAGTTAGGTGTTAGACACCAGCATATCAATAATTAGTGTTATGAATAATAAATAAATTGGGTGCATGTATTTCTCAGTACTATATAACTACGACATAAAGAGCACCATCGCAGGGACCAAGCCTTCTATACGGCCGGAGCTGCGAGCATAGAAGCTTCTCCAGGTTTACAACTTTTGCATTTGCTTTTCTTCTCTAGTAATTCTGTTTTAAGAACCAGATGAAGATGATAAGTTATATTCCTGATGGTCTGCTGCGAACGTTCATGTTCATTATTTTATCACCCCATTGATATGCTTTGTAGTATATTTTTATGCAATGGTCCCGAAATGGCAGTAATTGATGGCTTTACTACTGCTAAAAATTTTGACAAGGTTTTTCGGACGAACCTACGGATCGGGCGCCCGATCGGCTAGGAGCAAAATCGGGCGCTGATGTCAGCATGACGTCAGCGTCCGATTTACATGCAAAACTACTTTAAACTGATTTTCTCCTAAATTACTTATCCAAATCATGATCCGATT